GGCTATTAGCATTTCCTCTGTACAAACTCTCGTCTCACATTAACATTCACCTGTATTTCTGAATAATAGAGTTACAGTCAACCGGGAGCGATTCCTGTCCTTAAGACTGGACCTTCTGTTCAAGAGTGAGCCGGAAGGAAGAGCTTGAAAAAATAGTTGGGAAGTCATTTCAGAAGTGGATTAAGTCTCTCTCTGACTGCAGACACACCAGGACAGAGATGTTCATTCCTCCACCGGCTGATTAAAGAAATCCCACACTTGCATCATTAAAACCACAGGTAATTCCAGAGCAATTAACACTCCGCTGAGCGTTGCTATGGTGACTGGCAGACACAAGACATAAAGATGAGAGCTGAGATACAGATCAAGTAACTGTCATCTCTCTCTCTCACACACACACACACACACACACACCGCCCTCCTTCACTCCACAGTAGTTCGAAATCTTAGTTAAAACGTTGACTGTTGCACGATTTATTGTAGCCTAACGTTAACAGCTGTTTGTGCTGCTAAGAAAATTGCACAGCAAAGGTTTTTGATCATTTAGATGCTGATGTAGTGCGGGGTAAACTGTGCCAGTTTTTACTGTAGTTGTCCTCCATGGAGAGGAAATTAGACTAAAATGAATGCTAATGTAAAATTAATGCTCCCTAAATGTTTGCCATCAAATGAAATGAGAGGAAATAATCTTGGCCAATGATGAAACCTGCTTCTGAAACACCTAAAGTGTGTCCTGTTGATGGGGAAGTTAAATCATTATGGAATATGTGGATGATTTATGTTTCAAATAAACATGAAAATTAGTCAGACTAATGCATAACCCTGTTTAATTAGCTGCAGATTATGAATATCTTCATAAAAACCAGCCAGAAAAAATTAGAACGTTCATAATAAGTTTGTTTTTTACTTCTTTTTATGTATTTTCAATAGTATTGGTTATAATAGTGGCATAGCATGGGCTATGATGTTGTGCAAAATACTTTATTTATAATTTATGCACTGAAAAAAAATTGTTAGTCTTTTAGGAAGATTATTGATGTGTTTTACCATGTTTTAGAAATTTTCTCCTTTAAAATTTCACATTTAAGTCAGTGATATTTACGAGCATTTTCTGGGTGTAAAATGTTTCAGAGGAAATCCTACACTGTTTTTATTCTGTGGTTAATCTTTAATCAAATACTAAGTAGGGTTGGGTATCGAGAATCGAGTATCGATTGGAATCGGGACTAACTTTTCGTTTTTCCCGGAATCGTTCAAAAGTTAAAATTTCGATTCCTAGTTTCGATATTCACAGTCCGCCGAGCGGAAGAAGAAACCGCTGAACAACACCGAACACCAACGAAGAAGCGTCTACCGGAAGTGTTGGCATAACCGCGCGAGTCGAACATGAGTAGCTTACGTCGGCGGTCCAAAGTGTGGCTTCACTTTTCTAAAAATAACGAAATCTCGGCAAAATGCAAAATTTGTGACAAAAGGAGTATTTGTGACAGAAGGAGTATTTCCTTCAGAAAGGATTATTTCCTTCCGAAAGACCATTGGTTAGCAAGGTTAGCTAAACTTTTTTGACCCTGCCTCTTAGAAGAATCAGAATCGAGAATCGTTAGGAACCGGAATCGAAACAAGGAATCGGAATCGGAATCAGAATCGTTCAAATTCAAACGATACCCAACCTTAATACTAAGTGACATGAATTCAGTTCACCACATGTGTGATGTACATTTTTGGACCTGGATACATTTGCTTTGAAAATGAATTGTGTCATGCAAAACGGGGCTAGAAATTGCATCTACAGGGGGTCAATTTGACTAGTTTGGCTACTTCAGCAGTTAGGCCCTGTTGGTAACTACTGTACACCATCCTGGGGCAGAAAGCATCTATTTCCATTCATGGCCATTTGTAACTTGTTGACTAGCTTTTTTACAGTTTGTACTCAGAAAAAAAGGTGGTGCAGTCCCATTTCAAAAGATACACCTTTATACCTTCATTAGCCTTCTATAGGTGCATATTAGAGTACTTAAATGGGTATAAGGGGGTGACACAGTTTACCCACAACCAATCTTACCCCAGAATCCCCCCTTACCTGAATGTAGACGTCTTGTCCCCTTCAAAACCGACCAGAGACAGTTTGCTCGGCAAATGAGAGGACGTAACGAATCTCCTGACACAAGCGTCTGGACATCTGACATTATACCGATCTGAACTCAGCAGCATCTAATTGACCTTTGAAGAGCAGAATCCATTCCCGACATGCAGCCATCAGACTCATGCATCTGTTAATCTAACGTTAATTACTGGCCAAAGTTGCAAAATAATGAGAACATTTTAAAAAAAGGATGAGAGATAAAAGCTCTTGACAGTGGCTCACTTATTAGAGCCATTTGCAGATAAGGCAGTATTTCTCATTGTGCTGATGACGCGTTTCTCTAAAAATGTGTTGAAGTGTCTCTCTGAATATCCCAATTAATTCAACGTTTACTGGTTGTATTTTGAAGTGATGAAGGTCCCTACTGTCCTTGAAGTGTGCCTGTTTGATCTCTACACCCTTCAGTAGAGTAAGTATCAATAACTCTCATCTGTCATGTTTTCTCTGTGATCACGGCATTTCCTAATAGTCAGACTCCGACTCATCTGAGCTTAAAGCAGGGAAGCGGTGAAGCCTGCGAGTCAAGAGCCCTGGATAAATGTTAAGGGAAATCATGAATCATCCTTTGATGTGTTTCTCCCGCTCAGACCCCGGCTGCCTTTGCCTGGAGAAGTGGCCTGAAAAACACAAGCACTTCAGATATGGAGTAACACCGACTCCATCTGGTGAATCACTGCAGGTACACTTAATCAAAATGACAAAAACAAGTTACTCCGGTTAATAGATCAGATGAATTTCAGCCAAAAGATATCCTGTTTTGTCTGGTGTCCAAAACCACACTGTAAAAAATAACCGTGATTTTAACGGTAAAATACTGTAAAAATGCTACAGTGCAAAACTGTTAATTGGTAAACAGAAAGTTTCCGTACTATACACGGTAAATAACTGTGATATAATAACATAATAATTAAATTAATTAAACATAATATAATAATTACAGTAAAATGCCGTTAAATTTACAGTTTTTGAAAGTGAAAAAGAACAAATCATTGTATAATTTATAGTGAAAAAACGTAAAATGACATTCCCCTAATTCCCTCTGTGACACTTCACATTTTATGTATTTTTGTTGAAATAACTATGGTTCCTCATAGTTTTATTGTTTTTTTTAATCAGTTATGTACATTAGGGTTATATGTTACATTTAATGTTGTTAAATTAATGTTTATTGCATTTTTTTAATTTCATGCGTGTTACCATGATGGTGCTTAATGTTTGTGTGAATGACATTGTGCAGCTCCTTTAATTAAGTATTGCTCCATACAAGTATTAATAACTTGTGATGAGCTGTGATTGCTCATGTAATTCTCATCACTGCTGTGATGATTGTTGGTTGTCAGTGTATTACAATGGTCTAAAACAGATATCAATACATCAATAAGTTGGTAAATCCACATTTTATCAGAAAATAAATTACGGTTTATTACTGTAAATTTTAAGTTAAGCCTGTAAAACCACTAACGTTCCTACCGTATTTTTAACGGTAAAGTTCTGGCAACCACAGCTGCCGTTTTTTTACTGTAAAATTTATGGTTTATTTTTTACAGTGCAGTAAAACTGTCTAGTACCCAAAACTCAATGAAATATTTACAGCTTACATGTTTTTCCTATTTGTAGTGTAGATGAGTGGTACCCGGTGGGGTCTTCTGCTGTTGTAGCCCATCCGCCTCAAGGTTGTGTGTGTTGTGGCTTCACAAATGCTTTGCTGCATACCTCGGTTGTAACGAGTGGTTATTTCAGTCAGAGTTGCTCTTTTATCGGACTATGCGACACACCGAAGCAGTTCGTTTATATCTATGGACCATGGCAGCCGACGCGAAGTTACCTTTTGATACAGCCTAATGTTTGATATTAAACACATCAGCTCAACTGATTTGCATAAGGGAGATTTAAAGGGTTAGTTCACCCAAAAATGAAAATTCTGTCAGTATTTACTCACCCTCAAGTGGTTAAACTTTCTATCAGTTTGTTCATGATGCTTTTATGAATTGCCTTTTCAATTGAAAGGTAATTAGAATTTGTCCATGGAATAAAGATAATTGTACACGTTTTGTAACGTATGCAGTAGATCAGGTTTGTCAAGAATAAGTTTCCATTCCTTGTTGACGTGGAAGTGTGTGTGTGTGTGTGTGTGTGTGTGTTTTCTTTTTAAAATAATTTTAAGCATGGATGTTTATTTGGAAATATGTACATGTAAGTGATTGTACTCAACAGGAATGGAAAATCCCCTTTTCTCTCTCAAGCAGAAATACTCACACAACACACACATGCATCTGAGTGCACAGGTACTTATGCACACAATCTTTTGTTTATGTAATCTCTCCAAAGTCGTAATGGTTTTACACAGAGCTAATGATATTTTCGATCCTCTAACCTAACCCAACCTCTACTTCTGTAGATACACAACCCTCACACACCATTTCTCTGCTATAACAGTTCATTTCTGAAACATTTAGATTTATTTAATGAAATATTTAAGCATTTTATATATATATATATATATATATATGTCTAACGTCTTTTTAGTATTTTGACATGATTTCAAAACGAAAGTGAAAACAGTTTCGAGCACATACAGACTTTCATAACCATTTGTTTTGGTTACCTTTCAAAAAAACAATTGTGTTTATGGTAAAACACATTCAGTCATTTAATCTCTCTTCCCGAACTGGGGAATAAAATCCATGTGCATTTAATGTCACAAAAAGTTGTATTATTCAACTAATAAATAGATGACAAGTATACATTGTCATTACTGTTCTTTGAGTAAGCTCAAGGGATACAGACAATCTCAGATTCTTGACTTGTAAATCTAATATCTAAATGTCACATTATATCTGCAGTGTATGACAGCGTGTTTTTGTTTTTTTGTTTTTTCATTCCTGATTTTCCTCTTAAGCACGTGCCGAAACATATAAAATCAGTCAACTTCCTGCTAATCCACATCAGGTAGAAGCAGTCAAATCAAATCAGAGGTAAGTCAAATCTCTCTCTTTAATTTACCGTCATTATTTTTATTTCAATACATTCTAATTTGAGAATATAGTTTAGAACTTATGTAATATAGTAAAATATGATATAGTTTATAATATAGTAAATATATAAATGGACAAATTTGAAACCGACAAAAGTAAATGGAATCCATCATTGTTTAACCTGTTTATATAATGATACATGCACTTTTACAAGTTGATTGTACCGAAATGTGTGTTGGCAGTTCCTGTACACAACGATCATAAAATGATAAAAATCCATCCCGTGTTTTTATTTTATTTTTATTTTTTATTTTTTTTCCCCTTTCTCTCTTTATATGTTTTCCCGTCTGACCATTGTTTGTGACATCACACGGTCGGACGCCCCTCCCACGATTGTTGATTGACAGCTGCGTTTAAACACAGACCTCCTGGCTAGGTCATTGTTGATATGCTGGAGCACTGTCTATGAGCAGAATGGTGTCTAAGCGATTGTGTTGTTCGAGCAACGTCAATGCTTTCATGTTTGCGCGAATCATTTCTCACCAGACTGCTTAATAAATGAGGAAAGCTGGTTTTGTAAAGAAGCTGCTCCTGAATTAAAGTCCCTGTAAAGGCAATTCTACAAAAAAGTTCTAAACACATTATAAATGTAACATATGTATTGCTAAAACATATTAAAAAACTGTGAACTATGAAGTACTGAAAGGTGGAGTTTGATCGTTAAACTTTTTTTCACCATTGCAATTTTACGGATTGTTTGGGCGGGCTAAAACAGGGCACGATGATGCCCTGGAGCCCATGAGCCCCTGGACACGCCCATATTTGATGACGCACAGAGTCTGATCTCTCCCCTAACACACAATAACACTCCCCGCGCACATTCGCATTTACCGCTCAATCGCGAGTGACTGTCAGTACAACTACAGCTGAGCCTACAGTTTTATGCCTTCAACACAGGAATGCATGGGCTACTACCTGGATGCGATCATGTACAAAACAGATCGGTATCTTCATTTAAATTCCCTAAAAACGATCACATCAAGAAGAGGTTTTTAGAGAGCCAACCTTGATGAAGAGCTGAGGATCACCGCCAACACCCGCCTGATCATTTTACACTGGATAGTTTTATAAACTTTCCTCAGAGACAACTGGGATTCACTGAATAGGGCCGAAACGACTATCTCCTCCCTGCCTCAGTGTTGATCCTCCCATCCCGAAAGCAGTTTCACCTAATATCACCATTTCCCGCCAGTGGGCGTGGTTTCAGCGCAGCCAGCGGACACGCCCCCAGCGTTTGAGAACAGAGATAACTGCTCATTTTTTCAAGATTTTGATAGCTTATTTTATAGGGCTGGGTAATAAATATCGATTTCTCGATAGTAATCGATTCTCATTTTTACGAACCGATATCGATTCTTAAATCTCAAGAATCGATTAGTCATCCTGTTTCATTTGAATGAATGGGACATTGTATCGCGGCTGCGCGCGTCCAAAAAATCGCAATAATCTTTGTCCTTTGTTACTATTGATATGAAACAAAGTCTCAATTTTCAAATTACGTCCATTTTCTTTAGAAATTCAAAAACATAAATAGCGTTTTGGCGCTGTGGCGTGAGATCGCTCTGGCGCAGCTCAAGAGAAGCAGCAGTGCTGATCTCTCTTCCGGCTTAATAATACCAGTTACAGCGCCAAATAAACATGAGTGAACATCTGAAAGTGTGTTAAAAGATAGAGTACAACTTATCGAAATCCGTATCATGTCACATTGATTCGCTCAATCAGTGTTTCAACCGTGGAAAGACGTCAGTTAAACAGCTTGTAATCAATGTATCGTCATATTTACCTCAGAAAACCCACATAAACTCGTTAGTCAGCTAGAAAAAAATAACTCCAGAGAGGAGCATTTTGCTAAATAAATACACTATATTACATATGCATTATAATCTTAATGTTCTTCAATATTTAATGCATATTTGAATAAATATGGCAAGTTTTTTTATGACAGCCACCATTTAAATGTTTATATTTCATATAATCTTCTGATCATAAAAATAAATAAACGAGTAATTTTAAGTGTTTGTATAGCTACAAAACAGTTCATTATTACCTTCATATTAGGCTAATGAAGCCTATAGGCTACAACTAGACTCCCATAGTTTACAGCATTAGTTGAGAGATTTGATTTCCTTGAGAAAAATGGCCATTTATTGTAACTGATATCCAAAATAATCGATATTGAATCGAATCGAATCGAAATTGAATCGAATTGCAAGCTTGTGAATCGAAATTGAATCGAATTGTGAAATTTGTCTCAATACTCAGCCCTATTATTTTATGTACTTGCCGGCTTTTTTTATCATTCAAATTTGGTTGGGTGGCTAATAACACATTTTTCTGTGGTGTGACAAACTCAGAACACGTACTTAATTTTGTCTTTAGAGGGACTTTAAAGGATCGGTACTATCCGTGTTCCTGCTGAACATCCAGAAGAACTGAAGTGAGTGTAACGTTTTATTAACCTTTATATGAATCTTTGCAAATCGCTTGCACGCTTCACGATGTCGATGAATCCGTCGGGTTTACACTCAGGGTATATTACGGCATGTTTTCTATGTACTAGTCTGACGTTCTTCTCAATATAATTAATAATCCCACGTTTATAATGAACATCGCGCTATGGTTATTGTGTTACAAACGGTGTACGCACAGAACAGAGGGGCGGGGTGAGCAGAGCTCATTATCATTTAAAGGCATATGCTCTGAAACGGTGTGCTGAAAACAGAGCTGTTTTTGACCAGGTAAAATAAGTGTTTTCTTATAAAACTAATGAGAATTTTTAATTTAAGTATATTACAAACTTTTAATTTAGACCCTAAATAATCATATTATCTTGTACAAAATGGCATTATATGACCCCTTTAACTAAGCTTCACCAGAGCGTGGATGCACTGAGGTGTTATTTTGTTTAAATAGTTCAAAGTTACTATCAGATTTAATGTTATTACCTTGACAAACTATACATAATTAAAAAAAAATGTAAGACTCAAGTTTCAGTACTTGACCACTATTGTATTCTGAGAAACTTATAGTGATCGTTATGTCTTAATCTGTGCCAAGAGTTGTGTAATTAAACGATAATCGATACCTTTAATATAAATTATGAGCGTCAGCCGCTCCCATTTAGAGAAAAAACTCCTGTGGTGTCGTCATGACAGCGCTTGACAAAACAACGTCCCTTCTTTTTACTTAGTAAATGCCCCCAGTACTAGCATTATACGCTAAACAGTTTTTAGAGATAAAACTCTTTACATTCGATTATCATGAAAACAAATCTCAGAGAACTATTGACTATGTACTGATGTTTTATTAGACCAAAGGTTCATTTTGCGCCGGAGTTCTTCTTTAAGATAGAAATTTGACACATGCTGCTGGCCCGAGATTTTTCGGTTTCAAATGTCACTATTACTCTTCAGGAGCTCATTGAGGAGGCGGTGGGTTTCAAAATCACCAACAACACAAATACCTGTACCTGTACAGTGAGTATAAGCTGATAACTTCAGATAGAAGGTAAGTTACGAGTTAACAAACTTCAAGCTTAACGGGTATAAATTCTGATTTGTGCCCCTTGAACCCCTGATCACTAATTTCTGCATTCCTCATATCCGTAAAAGTGTGATAGACACTTGATGTGTAAACCATAATAAACCACTGTACTGTGGTGATACCATTGTGCATGGGAATACAGGCCTTATTTATTATTATTTTGAAGGAATTTGATCGGTCTAAGAATTGTTGGCTGTTTTCCAAAACAAATCCAAAAAAAATGTTTCCATGACAGGACATTTATTTTCTTTGTACACAGTGCTGGTAAAAATCAGTCAAACTTCCTTCTTACCCACAGCAGGTGCAAGAACAGCTTAGAAGAACAGTAAGTCAAATATTTCTATTTATTTGATTAAGATGCCTAATATAAAATGGACCTTTATTAGAATATTGGATTTTTTTTTCAATCGCAACAAAAATTGCCTCCTACAATCATATTTCAAAATTGTAAATATTTAATTTCTCAAAGTTATCATCAGTTACATTTATTTAAGATTAACTTCGGTATAATGAAAATAATAAATCTCCCTCTGATTACAGAAGAAGGACTCCTACATACTCGTTTTATCTCCGACTTCATCATGAGATTATTTGTGGTTTCACAGCTTCTGCTGGTGTTCATATCAGTCCTGGCACTGAGTAAGGTTTAGTTTCTGTCTGATTATCAGTCTTAAAGTGGCAAAGACTATATACTGTAAATTTAAAAAAATGAATAAGAATTTAATAATTTCTTTCTCTTTAACAGCCAGGGCACAAACAACTCAAACAACAACTGAGACGACAACAACTGCAGCAACAACTGCACAACCAACTCAAACAACAACTGAAACAACAACTGACACAACAACAACTGGAACAACATCTGTAGCAACAACTGCACAACCAACTCAAACAACAACTGAGACGACAACAACTGCAGCAACAACTGCACAACCAACTCAAACAACAACTGTAGCAACAACTCTAGCAACAACTGCACAACCAACTCAAACAACAACTGACACAACAACTGTAGCAACAACTGCACAACCAACTCAAACAACAACTGACACAACAACTGTAGCAACAACTGCACAACCAACTCAAACAACAACTCAAACAACAACCGACACAACAACAACTGGAACAACAACACCGGCTACAGGTAAATATAGACCTTTTAATTTGTTAGAACAGATGGATCTCCACGTCAAAAATATTAGAGATTAAATCTGACCCCAGACACTGAATCCCTGCCAAGAAATCAGTCTTCTATTAGCCTGAGATTTTGACTGAGAAAACCAAGGAAGAGCAGACGCAGGAGATGTGTTATGCATTATAATCTTTGTTGCGTTATGTTTCAATGCTCAGACTTCATCTGAATGTCGATGTCTCAATGCTCAGACTTTATCTAACCAGTAAATCCAAATAAGTGTTATTGCCAAAGCACAAACGAGAGAAACTTATCCTGTGATCTTACTCATGAAGACAAACATCCCGCAAAACCTCACAGTCATACGATTAAACAACAATAGCAAGCATTGCAAGAGCACGGAAATAAATATAATGAGATTTAAAAACAAAAAATGGGAACTATTGATAAATGATGTAAATCAAGTAATATGCATAAAAGGGTTAAATAATAAATCAAATGATAACTACATAAATGACTAATGGTTATAAAAAAGTATTAAATTGAATCATAAAAACAAAGTAAATAAAACAACACAGGTGTAGGGTTGCTCTTTTAAAGGAATACAAACAAGTTGCTATTGAGAATCCTTTCTAGAATACCCATAAACAGTTTTTCTAAAAACGTCAAAAGTTGAACAGTGTTGTGAGTGATGGATGATCATTTTTATATACTTTACAGAAGTGTTGGTTTCACTTTATCTTACTGTCCATGCACTTTTATAGGAAAGTAGCTACTGGGCAATTTAAGGTAACAACATTAGGTTAGGTTCAGGGTTATAGTTACTACCCAGTTATTGAAATTACTAAGTACATAGTATGTACATGTCAAAGAGGACTGTAATATATATATATATATATATATATATATATATATATGAAGAGTTCAGATGCAAAAGCCTCTAAATGCCATTTGAAATTTTCTTCTTTAATGATGATTTTTATCAAACTTGTATATTTAAGTTCAGTAATTTCACTTAAATGGCAATTAATAGGTAATTATCATTGCCATTTAAGTGAAATCACTGAACTTAAATATACAAGCTTGATAAAAATTATCATTCTAGAAGAAAATTTCAAATGGCACTCTTCATATACAAAAAGCATTACAATACCTGCACCAAAAAAAAAAAAAAAAAAAAAAAAACTGTCCGGTACTGTTTTGCCAAATGGTGTCAATTGAACAAACTCAAAATGAACTCGAGAAACCAGTTTATCAAGAAAGAAACAAACGGCATTCCTGGTTTGAGTCAGGTTGTTCTGACTCATGATTTGTTTTTTATCGTGTTAATATTTGTTTTCCTTCTTTCAGAAACCACCACAGCAATCCTACCAGGTCGTGAGCTTACTTAAATTAAAGAGTGCAGACAAAATAATCCATTTGCCGATAAATGAGGAGGCCAGAGCAGATCGACAGTTCAGAATTAATGCGTTCATGACATAAAAGCTAGATTATTGTAATGCTCTTATGGGTGGTTGCCCCGCACGCTTAATACATAAGCATACAGCTGGTCCCAAACACAGCAGCTAGAGTTCTTACTAGAAACAGGAATTATGACCATATTAGCCCGGTTCTATCAACTCTGCATTGGCTCCCTATTAAACATTGTATGCTGTTTAAAATATTGCTAATTACTTACAAAGCACTTATTGGTTCCCCAGTAATTGAGAGAGCTCTTTACAAATTATAGTCCTTCACGTCTATTCTGGTCTAAAAATTCTGGCTAGTTGATAATACCTATAATATCAAAATCGACTGCTGGCGGTAGATCCTCCATGCCACAAGTGTTTAATGTGAATAAAAATTTCAATAATACAATTTTCTAATTTACTTTTTTATGTTTTCACAGACCCCTGCTATAATTACACTGTGCTAAACGATGAATGGAGATCCACCAGCAATCAATTACAATTATCTTTTTTCAATGAAGTTACCTCTAAAGTATTGTGTGACAGATATGTCATCTGGAGCGGCTGGTACCGTCTCTTCATTCAGGGTCAGAGCGTTCAGATGCCAGACACATGTGTTGATGAGCGAAGCTGTGGCACTCACGCTCCACTGTGGCTGAACGGAGGACATCCAACTGTTGAGGATGGGGTGGTCACTCGACCTGTCTGCGGAAACTGGTTGAATAACTGCTGCTATTTCCAATCCAGTCCCATTAAAGTGAAAGCCTGTCCTGGCAATTTCTATGTATATGAGTTGGTGCAGCCAATTGGCTGCTATTTGACATATTGTGCAGGTAAATATATTTGTGTTTGAGTATTATTCATACAGTATATGGCATCTGTGGGTTTATTAGTCCATCTGTCTAAATACATGAATGTGACTTTAGTATATATGTAATTAATATTTCTATCTGTTTATTAATCATTATGCATTAAATGTTTTTACAGATGTTAGGAATAGTAGCATAAATAATGCTACTTTCACTCCAAACACAACTTTGGCAGGTAATGTAGTATTCAATGCCTTCTACTGACTACAGAATTTCACATGAAAATCTAAAATTCAGTAGCGGTGTCTATCTGTCTGTAGTCAAAGACTGCAGATAAAACAGTCCCGAATTTGCAGATGCAATAGAAACTAGTCCCTGTTCAGACCATAATGTACAACTAAACATCTACACAAATATGTTAAATATATATTATAATCTAAACTGAGCAAAATTATAAACGCAATACTTTTGTTTTTGCTCATTTTTCATGAGCTGAACTCAAAGATCTAAGACTTTTTCTATGTACACAAAAGGCCTATTTCTCTCAAATATTGTTCACAAATCTGTCTAAGTGAGGACTTCTCCTTTGCCGAGATAATCCATCCACATATCAAGATGCTTATTAGACAGCATGATTATTGCACAGGTTTTCCTTAGGCTGGCCACTCTAAAATGTGCAGTTTTATCACACAGCACCACAGACCGCCACATCTAGCATCTTAAACCGTCTCATCTGCATGCTTATCGTCCTCATCGAGGTCTCGACCTGACTGCAATTCGTTGCCGTAACCGACTTGAGTGGGTAAATACTTTCGCGTCTGACACTTTGGAGAGGTTTTCTCCTTTGGCAGGCTGTGTGTATGGTGTCGTGTAGTAGGTGAGCGGTTTTCTGATGTCAATGTTGTGGATCGAGTGGCCCATGGTGGCGGTGGGGTTATGGCAGTGTTGTAGTACTCGAGACTCGGACTCGTCTCGGACTCGGTCTCGAGGCCATATTTTAATGGTCTTGGTCTTGTCATGGACTCGTGTGCATTTGGACTCGGAATTGACTCGTACTCGAACATTTTTTTTTTTTAGGACTCGGACTTATTCCCGAGTCCACTCGAGTTCAATTCAAAATATTTTTCATGATTGTTAATGTATGTTAATAAAATATTTCTTTAAATTGATTGACACGCCCAGTGATTGGTGATTTTCTAGCGCACAATTGCGCATGACAAATTGTAATAAAATTACTTTTAACACCACCTACTATGTGGCCTTTTTACCCTAAACTGATCATATTTTATAAACTCTAAGTAAATTCAGTATAAAAAAGGATTTCTCTAAGTAAATAAAAGTAAATTAGGCAATCAACCCTCACTGGTCTCGGTCTCGACTCGGACTCGACTGTCTCTGGTCTCGGACTCGACTCAGACTCGACTCTCTATGGACTCGGTCTTGACTCGGACTCGACTCTCTCTGGTCTCGACTCGGACTCGAGTGAGGTGGTCTCGACTACAACACTGGGTTATGGTATAGGCAAGCGTATGTAATGGACCCACAACTCCCCAAAAATCCTTTAATTGTGTTCAGCCAAAGAGAAGTGCTGACTAACAAAAATTTAGACAGATTTGTGAAAAAATATTTGAAATATTTGAGAGAAATAGGCCTTTTTTTGTATATAGAAAAAGTCAGCTCATGAAAAAATGGGGGCAAAAACAAAAGTGTTGCGTTTATAATTTTGTTCAGTGTGTATGTAATTCAAAATGACCTATCCAACAAGTGCATATACCCTCTATTTACTCTAAAGAAATGTTTATTTCTAAACATTGGTTGACTGGAAACATTTTGTCGTTGACATTTTGTCAGTGTAATTTAAACTCTTTGCTTTAAATCAAATGACAAATTTGTGGTTCATGCAAAGTCACATGACCACCGACCATATTGTTTTGCTGAAGAAAGCTAATTTGCAATTCCATAAAATCAGTGAATATTTAAAAACCGTTTGATTTTACTGCACATTAATGTTCACTGATTAATCCATGTGTTTTGTCAAATACAACAGAAGTTTCCTTCACAGACACACATATATACAGTATATATATGGTGCTTCCATCATCAAAAATATATAAGCAAATCTCACTCCTCTGTCAATTTGCTTATATTTACCAAGGTGCCAAAATTAGTGGAGGGTTTGTTTTATATTTTGTATTACATTTATATTTATTAAATACACAGTTACTTAGCATTGCACTTTATTTGTTCAAGACCATATAGAGAATAATTTATTGGTTAAATCTTTTACTGTCCCATCTACATGAGTCCTCCACCAGAGGGCGTTATCGTCAACCTAATAATTGTAACCAGTCCAGATTCAAATATGAGCCCCATAAATCAGTGTGAAATGTTAACATCAGTGAACAGAAAGGTGTTTCGTGCTTTCTCTTGGCAGCACCAGGAATATTCTACCCATTCGGCTCATCATCAGGAGACACAATAAACCCTGCTGATGATGATGGAAGCTCCTCAGTTATTCCACTGTTGAGTCCATTTCTGTTCTTTGGCCGCACATACCAGCAGATTTATGTAAGCATTTGATTTCATATAATTCAAAGTGAGTGGTGGATGATTTATAAACTCTTCTGTGATCCTGTGGCTGTGATTTTGACGGTATATCTCATGTTTCAGGTTAATAATAATGGACACCTCACATTTAACCAGCCTTCACGCCAATATGATCCCTACTCCTTTCCTAACAATGGCGGCCAAGATATAATCGCTGGTCTCTGGACCGACCTTGACAACCGTGTGAGAGGTGTGGTTTCATATCATCAGTACGCTAATGGAAGTGTTCTCACACGGGCCACTCAGGATATAAACAATCATTTCCCAAATCTGGCCTTCAGCGCTTCTTGGGTCTTTGTTGCAACGTGGAATAAAGTCCCTTACTATCCCATCGCTACCACAGTACGTTCTGAATTATGACTGTTCTCTCTTTCAATTCATTATTTAATTTAATTTCACAATACTTTATTGCACCAAGTAGTAGACAAAGACGGTGAAAGAGAAAATAACAAACAAGCAAACAATCTATTCAGTAGTTAATGCCCATAACCAATTATATTTCTTCTCCTTTTTCAGGAAACATCGTTTCAAGTGGTTTTAATTTCAGGCACACATTTTTCATTTATTCTGATGAATTATGGTGACATTGCTGAAACAGGACTTCCAGTGGAGGTAAAATAAACTTGTTTTCTGTTTTCAGAAGCAGGGGCAGACATAAAGGTGCAGTGTGTACATTTTAATGTCATCTAGTGGTGAGGTTGCGAATTGCAACCAACTGAAGTTTCGGTGGCCAACAGGAAAACATGTAGTCGTCTGAGACAGCAGAGAGTAGCCAGTTAAGCAATGAGGTTTCTTTACAAAGAAAAATCAAGAAATTATTCAATATTAAAATATTTAAAAATATTTCAACTACGATTGACAATTAGCTTACGGTTTGGATTGGCGGTATGGTTCCGTTCTGGGTTAGGGTTGGGTTAGGGTTAGGCATCCATGCAGCCTAGCATGGATAAGAGCAGGGAGAATTTATTCTGATTGAACTGATGAACTATCTTCAATTAGGATATTCTGTCATGGTAATCTATAAATCGCTCATGTAGGAACTGTTGTGAGATGCACACGTAGTAAAAAGATGGATGCTAAAGTTTGAGCTGACTCACAAATGTACTCTTATACAACCACTCTTCCTCTTCTCAACATGGGTTGGGTGTTCCCGTGGGCGTGGTTTATGTACATTTTAGGGTTGCTTATGTCACTAACCCAGAAGGAAGCTCATGTAGTCCCTACCAGCCATTTGTTGTAGTCCTTTTCTTTAAAAGCAAATATCCTCCTTTGTTTCGAACTTTGATCGTTGTAACTTTGATACTGTTGTTTATAATCAAACAGCAACACACTAACTAAAGTTAGAAAAGTGAAATCATACTTTACCACCCCTTTAAATTTTAAAAAAAAAAAAAGCTGAAATTTAGATATGGTAATAGAATTTTGTTTTCAACACGAGCTGTAAGTGGCTGGCCAATCACAACAGACTGGGCCATCTGACCAATCAGAACAGAGTAGAGTCTCAGAAAGGAAGGGTTTAAAAAGACATATCCTTCATCAAACCATTTCAGACACTGAAAAAAAGGGGATGTAGCAATTTATATTACGAGAAATGCATGTAAACCTACGTATATTGAAGGAGACTCTGACCCTGTAATTCTAATACTCTTTAATTTAATTCTGTTAAACTGAATGCACAAAGTAAATTGCTTGCTAGAATTATTAAGAATAATGCACTGAGATTTCAATCACCATGTTAAGATACCATAGAAAGAGAATAGAGAGGGGCATTTGTGTTTTAAATAAGTGTTACAAAGTAAAAAGGCACATAATTGGTGTGTTTGGGCCCCCTGGAATTGCTTAAGTCTGCCCCTGTTGAGAAGATTACTATTCACTATTGTATAACAGCACATGTACGGTATATACTATTAATATATAAAATACTTTCAGGCTGGTTATGACGGCGTAAACACTGACTACTTTGTGATTCCTGGATCAATCAATGGGAGCTTGATCTCAAACCTCAGGAACTCCAGTAATGTCAATGTTCCCGGTCGGTGGGCCTTCAGGGTGGACAGTGGAGGACACAACACCTCTAAAAGTAAGAAGTCTAGTCTAGAAATAGATAACAGATGGGTTTGGTTTTTGTTTTGATACATTTCATATAACCCCATAGAATGAATGCTTGACAATTAATTAATTAATGTCAACAAATATGAGTATTTTATGTTTTTGTCTGTGTGTTTCCCTTTAGACAACGTCATTGGACTTCAAATGAAACTTTCCTCATTTTTAGATCTAACACAGAGTGGAAACATTGAGATTGTTTTACAACAAGTACGTCACACGCTTATGAATATGTATACAAAATATCGTTCTAATAGATAGCTAGTTTGACCTGTCTGTCTTTTGTTTCAGATAAAACAGGTGCTGGTTAATAACAATCTGCCAAGCAACATAGAACTGAAGTTAAGAAAAGTGCAAAAGACAACGTCTCCTTACTTCTGAACAAGAAATAAAACTGCCCGATTTGCTAGTCTTATAGCAAATATCCTATTGATCATGCGAAGACTGTAAAGACCCTAGTTTTACATCGATGTGGTTTCATTAAAAATGGGCACAAAACTACATAAAAACTTTATAATAGAGATCCATATATCTTTTTTTTTTTATTTATTATATATTTTTTTTTCAATTTTACAATCACTTCCTTAAATCTTTCGCACTAGATTTATTTGCACATTTATGAGATTTCTTCAATGTGACCAACATTTGTAAGCAAATCGTTTTGGTGGTTGTTATTGTGAAATGTTTTCAATGAATCGATGATGCCGTTTACAGAACTGGTCTGAATGATTAATTAATGACTCGGACTGATCCAATCCATAAGTTCAGTTCAGTGATCCGGTCTCTAGAGTGGAAGAATGAATAACGACATAAATTTTAATTATTTTTTTTTCCTCACAATGCTATGTATGACTTTAAAAATTTTTAAAAATAGTGCATGGGTTGTATAGATAACATCATACAGGACATTGAATGGTGTTTTTGTCTCTATTTTAATACTTGAAATCCTAATTTTATGGAAAAGTACAACCATTGCAGTTATTTTATAACTACATTAAAATTTTCTCAATTTACATTTACCATTTACATTTAATTCAAATTTATAAAATAAAACCAGACAGGTTTTGTCAAAACATGAGGATGAGTAACATGGTGAGGGTTTTTATGAGTGTTGTGAAAATATACGCCACACAGCTGATGAGAAAACATGCGAAAACAAAAGTGAAAATCAGTGAAGAAATGACTAGAGTTGCCAAAAACGTGTAACAAAACGCTTTCTCTGTTTACTTGTTTACTTTATTTCTTGTCTAGTATAACTTCTTATACCTTTTAGACTACTTATACTGTTATAATGTCTATTACTGATCAATAAAACTAAAATTTAACAAAAATAGACGGGGCTGTGTCATTTTATTTTATATAGCCTATATTTTATATTTATATTTTATATAGGTTTTTTTATAGCTATTTTATTTGCTGTATACTGTTTGTTTATTTTATTGACTGAACTATTTACTATTACTTCTCACTTTATCTTATATTTACTATTTGCATTGCACTGTAGTTATACCATATTGTATTTTGGAGAAAAACATGCAGATTTATTTTTTACAGCCAGTTTTGATCATATTTACCAGCGGTGCCATTAATTCTGAGCATGACTATATATGGTGTGGTTTAGACATCTCAAATCGAGGATGGGTCTGAGGCCCTTCAGAATGAGGAAATAACGACATAAAAAGCCTGACTTGCTGTTTGCCATTTTCTTCACGTTAGGGTTTTTCCTCGACTAATTTCCTTTATACGCATGCAGAAGATGACATTCTTTTCCTCTCAAAAAGAATATATATATATATATATATATATATATATATTAAACAATCATTTCCCAAATCTGGCCTTCAGCGCTTCTTGGGTCTTTGTTGCTTACTATCCCATCTCTATACAGTAAGATTTCTGAAATGTGAATGTTTTCACTTTAGTAATTCAACTTCAAAATACTTGCCATAAACACAAAAATATTGGCATAAAAACAATAATACACAAAGAAAGTGCCAGAGAACATAGTAACACATTAAAACAATAATAACAATGATGTCACGGAGTACAACAATATAATGTCATTTTATTTTTAAAAAGATGTAAAACGAACACTACATTTTTCCCCTAATCTTTCAGGAAACATTGTTTCAAGTGTTACCTCTGTGCCAAGAGGAATCTGAATAATTCCCTTCCGAATCTCACAGAGCCAGAGAGAGTGAGTATTACCCGTCGAAGTTTATCATTTGAATCGATCTCCCATGCGTTTTTGTTTGTTGGCATCTTTTATCCACACTAGTTCACTGTCTGTTATTTTTTGTAAGTGTAGACAAAGCTTTCATGCAGGATCTGGGTGCTTGCTGTGAGAAAAAAAATCAATCGATAAACGCATATGGCAAAGGAAGTGCATTCAAAGTTTTTAAACTCGCTTCAGTGCGTATTTATGTGAGACAGTGAGAGGCACGCGAAGGCGCGTGCGATTTGTCCGCGATTTGTCCGAATATATAATATTTATATAGGCTTTATTATTTAAGTGTTACGGTGATATTTTTTTATTTTTTATTGTTGTGCTTGTTGATGGATATGTGTTAGTTAACTTTATTAAAACAAAAGTCAATATTTAAATTTTATTTATTGATTTAAATTTAAAACAAATTTTTAAAAATGACAGAGTACACTCTAAAAATTGCTGGGTTGTTTTAACCCAACTTTGGGTCAAATATGGACAAACCCAAACATTGGGTTAAAAAATGCAATTACAAAAATTTAACCAAATGGCTGGGTTTGTCCATATTTGACCCAAAGTTGGGTTAAAACAACCCAGCGATTTAAAGTGTATATTTACATATGATGGACACATTTTTGGACAAATTACCAAAAAAAAAATACTAACAGTATTTAATCAAACTCAAATCTCAAAAAGTTTTTAAACATTTCCTCTGCTGTACAAACTCTCGTCTCACATTAACATTCACCTGTATTTCTGAATAATAGAGTTACAGTCAACCGGGAGCGATTCCTGTCCTCAAGACTGGATCTTCTGTTCAAGAGTGAGCTGGAAGGAAGAGCTTGAAAAAATAGTTGGGAAGTCATTTCAGAAGTGGATTAAGTCTCTCTCTGACTGAACACTAGATTTAGGGACAAGTGCCACTGTTGTATTTTTGTTTTGGTTAGTTAGCGTAGGGAAGTATACGACGTCTTGGACGTTGAAGATCTTTCTTTTCTACATTTTATTTTTTATTAGTTAGGTTAGATTAAATTCGGGTAAGAAAGATTGTTTTCTTTTTATTAATTTCTTTGAGTTGGCACTGTCCAGTTGCCCTTTTCCTTTCCCAGAATTAATACATATTTGCTGGTATGTTTATGTTACTTTATTGATTGGTTAATATTTGTTTGAATTGTTTCTTCATGAAGATGTGTGATGTACATAGATATTATGGAGAGATATTTTGACCGGTTGTGGCCAGCAATAAAGAAAAAGAAACCTTAAATATTCTACTGCCTATGTTTCTCTCAGTCACTTCCCAGTGTTTTCTATGGTGGGTGTCGAGGGATGATTAATTTTCCCCTTCTAAATCCCTAGACGGTTAAAAACTAAGAAGGGTCGTAACACCAACTTTGGGTCAAATATGGACAAACCCAAACATTGGGTTAAAAAAATGTAACCAAATGGCTGGGTTTGTCCATATTTGACCCAAAGTTGGGTTAAAACAACCCAGCGATTTAAAGTGTATATTTACATATGATGGACAAATTTTTGGACAAATTACCAAAAAAAAAAAAAAAAAAAATACTAACAGTATTTAATCAAACTCAAATCTCAAAAAGTTTTAAACATTTCCTCTGCTGTACAAACTCTCGTCTCACATTAACATTCACCTGTATTTCTGAATAATAGAGTTACAGTCAACCGGGAGCGATTCCTGTCCTCAAGACTGGATCTTCTGTTCAAGAGTGAGCCGGAAGGAAGAGCTTGAAAAAATAGTTGGGAAGTCATTTCAGAAGTGGATTAAGTCTCTCTCTGACTGCAGACACACCAGGACAGAGATGTTCATTCCTCCACCGGCTGATTAAAGGAATCCCACACTTGCATCATTAAAACCACAGGTAATTCCAGAGCAATTAACACACCGCTGAGCGTTGCTATGGTGACTGGCAGACTGGCATAATTTATGCACTGTAAAAAAAAACTTTGTTTTTTTGGATGATTATTGATGTGTTTTACCAAATTTTCTCCTTCAAAATTTCACATTTAAGTCAGTGATATTTACGGACATTTTCTGGGTGTAAAATGTTTGAGAGGAAATCCTACACTGTTTTTATTCAGTGCGGTTCATCTTTAATCAAATACTAAGTGACATGAATTCAGTTCACCACATGTGTGATGTACATTTTTGGACCTGGATACATTTGCTTTGATATAAAATGAATTGTGTCATGCAAAACGGGGCTAGAAATTGCATCTACAGGGGGTCAATTTGACTAGTTTGGCTACTTCAGCAGTTAGGCCCTTGAAGAATCATATATATGATAATCATATGAAGAGTTCAGATGCAAAAGCCTCTAAGTGCCATTTGAAATTTTCTTATAAAATGATCATTTTTATCAAGCTTGTATATTTAAGTTCAGTAATTTCACTTAAATGGCAATGAAGATTACCTATTAATTGTCATTTAAGTGAAATTCCTGAACTTAAATATACAAGCTTGATAAAAATGGTCATTTTAGAAGAAAATTTCAAATGGCATTTAGAGGCTTTTGCATTTGAACTCTTCATATATATACAAGAGCTCACTGATGTCATGTTTCAGGTCGTTGGGCCAGTCAAGCTCAAAAGTATTAGTTTGTTCATGATGCTTTTATGAATTGCCTTTTTGAAAGGTAATTCAAGTTTGTCCATGGAATAAAGATATTTGTAAACGTTTCGTAACGTATACAGTAGATCAGGTTTGTCAAGAATAAGTTGCCATTCCTATGTTGCTGACATGTGGAAGGTTATGTGTCTCTTTTTTTTAAGAATTTTTAAGCATGGATGTTTCTTTGGAAATATGTATGTGATGTTACTCAACAGGAACGGAAAATCCCTTTTTGTTTCTCAAGCATATAAATTCACACACAACACACGCAGATGAGTGCACACATACTTTCACACAGTGAAAGTGTCCTGGCACACATGCATACTTTGCACACAGTCTTTTTTTTTATATCAGTATATAATCTCTCCAAAGTCGTAATGGTTTTACACAGAGCTAATGATATTTTAGATCCTCTAACCTAACCCAACCTCTACTTCTGTAGATACACAACCCTCACACACCATTTCTCTGCTAATAACAGTTTATTTCTGAAACATTTAGATGGATTTAATGAAACATTTAACCATCTTAATAAGTGGATACAAATTGGAAAAATAATTTTATATTGTCTAACTTCTTTTTAGTATTTTGTCATGATTTAAAAACAGAAGTGAAAACAGTTTCCAGCACATACAGACTTTCATAACCATTTGTTTTAGTGCTGGTTACATTTCAAAAAAGCAATTGTGTAAAGTCATTTAATCTCTCTTCCCTGGTTTTAGTTCTTAATTGGAGCAGTACAGTGACAGAAACTGGGGAATAAAATTCGTGCATTCAATGCCGCCAAAGTTATATTATTCAACTAATAAATAGATGACAACTGTACATTGCCATTACTGTTCTTCGAGTTTGAGATACAGACAATCTCAGACTCTTGACGTGTAAACCCTATAATGTAAATGTGATGACAGCGTGTGTTTTTTTTCATTCCTGATGTTCCTCTTAAATATGTGCCCGAAACACTTTTAAAATCATTCAACTTCCTGCTAAGCCACATCAGGTAGAAGAGCAGTAGAAGAAGCAGTCAAATCAAATCAGAGGTAAGTCAAATCTTTCTCTTTAATGTAAAGCTCCATAAACTATATTCTCCAATTAGAACGTTTATCCTTCCTTGTGGAATGTATTGAAATAAAAATAATGGTGCTATCTATCTATCTATCTATCTATCTATCTATCTATCTATCTATCTATCTATCTATCTATCTATCTATCTATCTATCTATCTATCGCACCATTATTTTTATTTCAATACGTTCTAATTTGAGAATATAGTTTATACTATATATATATATATCTGTATGTATATGTATGTATATGTGTGTGTGGACAGATAATCAGAGGTAAGTCAAATCTTTCTCTTTAATGTTAAGCTCCATAAACTTTTTTTTAAACGTTTACCAATAAACGTTTATCCTTCCTTGTGGAATGTAGGCTAATGAAGGCTATTGAAATAAAAATAATGATGCTATCTATCTATCTATAATGAAAGAGTCAGTGCACGAGAATAAAAGCAAAACAGCGAGCAAAGAAGTCAAAACGGTAAAGATAGAAGGCTGTTCTTCTGTTACGTCTTTCTACCTGAGTGTTCCTTGGCGAATATTTCAATATTAACATGAGCGGAGTGGAATAAAGAAAGTGTTGAACAGGATTGATATTCAAAACGGTAAGCATGCACTGCTTTGTTTACGTACATTATGTGTATCTGCAGCCGGCAGTGTCGGTTTTCCTTTTTGAATGATGAATATAGACTAATATCTGCAGGCGCAGAACGCACATTATAGCTGACCGTCGGCTGCAGTTCTCTCGGTGTGTTCAAGTGCAGCTTTTTCCCCTGACAAGAGGCGACAACACAGTTGGCTTTCATCAGAGCTAGTTCGTTGGCGTCGGCTTGGTGTGTTCCAGGCTTTACAATACTAATGAGAATTTTAAAATAAAGTATAATACAAACTTTTTAATTTAGACCCTTAATAATCATAATAGCTTGTAGGCCTACAAAAATGCCATTACATCACCCCTTTAAGCTTCACCAGAACGCGGACGCACTAGCGTTTTTTAGTTCAAATAGTTTAAATAGTTCAAAGGTACTATCAGATTTAATGTCATTACCTTGACAAACTATACATCATTAAAAAGATATAAGGCTCAAGTTTCAGTATTTGACCACTATTGTATTCTGAGAAACTTATTGTGACAGTTATGTCTTAATTTGTGTCAGGAGTTATACCTTTAATATGAATTATACGGAGCCCGGGAAGTCACCTGTGGGGGAAAAACTGTACACAAATTCTTAAACTTTTCCCTCGGTTTAACAATTCGTGCCCACGGATTAATAAACCGTACCCACGAGTTCCTGATCCGTGCTCTCAGATTTGTGAACCGTGCCTTCAGTTTTTGCAATCGGTACCCACAAATTCATAAACCGTGCCCACGCTTTCGCAATCTGTACTCACGGATTTGTGGCCCGTCCCCCAGAGTGTGCCGCATGATTCAACCAGGCCTCCTGTTTAGGCGCAGGATGCATGGCATTGTGTTTAAAATAACTTCACATACAAAAAATAAAATAAAAAATCTGCATCAACCCTCCCTCTGGAATATGCAAAAAAGGGCATGGCCATATTTCTGTGACTCATCGAAAGTGTGTTATGTTCATCCAGCTGTCAGGTCTTCTGTGTCCAAGCTTCCCATGGACGCTGTAGTTCGTCAACAATGGATACAATTTATGTTTGATTATGTTCTGAAAATGACAATCGTAATTTAGCTCTCTGTGCTGCGCATTTTACGGAAGACAGCTTCCAGAATCTTCATGAATTCAATGCCGGATTCAACAAGAAACTGTTACTAAAACATGAAGCAGTTCCAACTTTAAAATCAGAGGCAGCATTTACTGGGCCACAACCTGTAAGTAGGCTAAGACTTAATCATTTTAATGTATTTGCATGTATAATTCCAGACGTAATGTTTTAGTTTTATCAAATGCCAGCGCTGGTTTATAGCCACTAGGCTACTAGTTATGCTATTTTGTGTGTGTATATATATATATATATAGTGGAGGTTTAAATACTGGGTCAAATTGACTCCAGTGGGTAAAGAATGTCACCACATTTGAGGGTAACAGGAGGGTTAAAGTAACTGTAGAAAAGGTGATGTAAAAAAAAAGTTGATTTTTGAAGTCATAAATTTGACAAAAACATAAAATCCCATTTATTACTATATACACTAAGCTGCAAATTAAGATGCATTTTTACTACAGTAGCTTACAGTTTAATATATATACACAATATATACATCATAATATAGTAGAAAAACTTTAATAATTAAATAATTTCAAAATAATTAGATATTGAATATTAGCTTTTACCTTTTTAATATATTTTAGCTTTTAACAGCTATAAACGAATACAGTCAGATTTGATGTAGCCTATTCATCTGATTTTTAATTAAGGTTTTTATTAGGGCCCGAGCACCGATGGTGTGAGGACCCTCTTGGAATTGATATTCTTATTAAATCACCTTTGGCTAAGCCACGCCCTAGAATATAGATTGACCAATCACAGCCCAGCCAAGAACCAGCTCCCACAGAGGTCCGACAGTTTTTCACTGCGCTCCATTGACTTTCAACACAGGCGTCTCATGTTTTTGGTCTCGGCAGGCTATTACCGTCGAAGTTTTATCCAAAATATGGTTAAATGTTGTTGCTCGGGCATTTGCAACTCAGATATACGCGTTTCCCAGAGAGGTTGGAGGGGGGTGTCCGTTTTTTCCCTTTCCAAAACCGAAGTAAAATCCTGACAAGTGTCGTGTTTGGATTAAACTGTATGGTTGTTGACGCTAGCACACGCTGCTAATAAATACAACGTTATACAGTACTCTTGTAGTCCGTTTCCTTTGTAATAACGATTATAGAAGTGAATAGAGACCTACCCAGCTTTGCATGATGAACAGTGTTGCTCCCTGATATTGTTAGTCCCAGCCTCCGTCTCGATTAGTAGGGAATGCGGTGGTTCATTTTTTGACTGTGACCAGTAACGTTAACGATATGCTTTTCCCTCTATTTTGGATGCCTTGTTGTTTCTTGCGTTGCGTTTCACCTGTATGTCTTGAATAAAGCCTTCGAACGCATATCGCAGCCCCTTTTGCCTACTTCTATCGGACACTTTATTTGCTGCTTTATAAAAGTTTGATATTTCAGCAGGAAGAGCTGTTACAACATAAGCCGCGCAGATGAAGTTTGACGGATGTAGCAACAGTAACTAAGGGGGGCGGGGCTTAGCCAAAGGTGAATTGATATTGATAAAAAATATTCATAGGTTGATATTAGCATGGTTTAAGTGCATTTATATAGTGCACAATGTTCTAATACATCTCTCTGGTTACAGAAGAAGGACTCCTACATGCTGGTTTTATCGGTGACTTCATGATGAGATTATTTCTGGTTTCACAGCTTCTGCTGGTGTTCGTATCACTCCTGACACTGAGTAAGGTTTAGTTTACTATCTGTTGTCAATAATCTTCTATCTTTCTCAACCAGGGCACAAACAACAACACTGGCAGGTAAAACAGGCCTTTGTTCTTTATTAGAACAAGATTATTGTCCACTCTTACCATTCTTCTTAATGTGTGGGGACAGTATAACATCTTCAGCTGATTCTAAATGTTTCATTATTGAATTAAAAATGCCCATTTTCAACTGTTAAGCTATTTTCTTATAGCCACTTCCTGATTTGCGCTGCTCAATAACATTTTGTTACTTAGTGACATATTTTCATAGTCATGAGGAATCTGGCTTATGAACCACCTCATAATTAGAGCGTGAAGTCATGAATTACCACTAAAGTTCCTAAACACTCAGGTGAACTTAAATACATAAACTTAAAAACATAAAGGAATATACTCTAATTAGATTTTAAGAATTTCTAGTGTTCAAGACAAGTGTTGGACAAATATTTATTTAATGTTTTTAATTTTTAATTGTTATATATATATATATATATATATATATATATAATTTTACTTCAGTTGAAGGATAGATTTGTGAGGACAATTTTAATGAAAGACAATAAACAGCCCATTTTACCCATATTTACCAAGCGTGCCAATATTAGTCAACAGTTACACCAGTCCACCACCAGAGGTCAACATCTTCTCACTACTAATCACAGCCAGATTCCTCACACATGACATGAATAAACATGATATTCATAAAGCACTACAATTTTAATGTCAAATCCTTTTGCATATTTGTTCATTCTCTTGGCAGCACAAGGAATATTCTACCCATTCGGCTCATCATCAGGAGACACAATAAACCCTGTTGATGATGATGGAAGCTCCTCAGTTATTCCACTGTTGAGTCCATTTCTGTTCTTTGGCCGCACATACCATCAGATTTATGTAAGAATTTTAACTAAATGTGAATGGTGAATGCTTTATAAACTCATCTGTTATCAGTAAACCTGTGACTGTGATCTTGACAATATGTCTCATGTTTCAGGTTAATAATAATGGACACCTCACATTCAACGAACCTTCAATCCATCATAATCCCTCCCTCTTTCCTGCTAATGGAGGCCAAGATATAATCGCTGGTCTCTGGACCGACCTTGACAACAATGAGAGAGGTGTGGTTTCATATCATCAGTACACTAATGGAAGTGTTCTCACACGCGCCACTCAGGATATAAACAATCATTTCCCAAATCTGACCTTCACCGCTTCTTGGGTCTTTGTTGCAACGTGGGATAAAGTCCCTCACCACAGCTTGATCAGCACAGTAAGATTGATATACTTCTGAAATGTGAACGTTTCACTGAAACAATTCAATTTAAAAACACTTTATTGGCATGAACACAATGATAATAATAATAATTATGAAATCCCACTGAGTAATGGTCATGCGAATAACAACAACAACATAATGTAATTTTATTTTTAAAAATAGGAAAAAAAATCTTTTTTCAATCTTTTTCAGGAAACATCGTTTCAAGTTGTTTTAATTTCAGGCAGTAGTTTTTCATTTATTCTGATGAATTATGGTGACATTGCTGTAACAGATGATCCGGTGGAGGTAAAACAAACTTGTTTTCTGTATCAGAACAAAATATTACTATTCTCTATAACACTGTATGAAAGTATACTGTTCAAATATATGATTTGCTTTTTCATTTTTATACAGGCTGGTTATGACAACGTAAACTCCACTGACTACTTTGTGATTCCTGGATCAATCGATGGGAGCTTCATCTCAAACCTCAAGAACTCCAGTAATGTCAATTTTCCCGGCCGGTGGGCCTTCAGGGTGGACAGTGGACACCACACCTCTAAACGTAAAAGATTTATCGTTTTAGAAATACATGTTTCCCATGTAATCTTTTGTATGATTATTTTATGCGTACACTGTAAAGATAAAAAAACAACATTTTTTTATCAGTTTGGACTACACAGTGCTAAGAGATCCAGTAAGCATTTGAATTCGCCACATCACTTCGAGATCTAGTACTCTGGGCTCGGGCCGAACCTGCCAGCTGTGTTTGCCAGAATAATTCAAGTCAAGTCACCTTCATTTATATAGCGCTTTTAAAGGGATAGTTCACCCAAAAATGAAAATTCATAAAAAAATGATTGTTATTTTTTTTCCGGCTCGGCCAGACGTGGGCTAGCGCGCGTGACCCTGCTTTTTGTGAAAAATGTTTGCCAACGACCGTTGCCTTCTGAGGCAAAGAGGTCTAATACCTTGCCGAATATGATCCATATCAGCTGAACCGTCTGTGTGGGTGAAGAGCCCACTCCCCTGGAGAAACTTTTGCTGCGTCCCAATTCGCATACTATCCGTCCTAAATAGTATTCGAAAATAGAATTAGTACGTCCCAAATCATAGTATGTTGAAATGAGTGTTTCAAAGATACCCGGATGGTCTACTTTTTCCGGTCAGAATCCGAAGTGTAGATCGATGCACACTCTAACGGCTGATATTGCCCACAAACCATTGCGCGGTGGACGAGGATTCGGTTAGAACTACAAACACGAGTAAAAAAGTGTTAAAAAACTACAGACACGTAGTCGATACGGAGGACGCGCGAGTCCCCGCGGTTGTGTAGAGAGGTTTAGATAAAGAGGTTTGAGTGATTAATTATCAGTATCTAACCTGACGAAAATGAATTATTCAATGTTGTCCACATTATATTGCATTTGCAGCAGCATTGTGAACTTTTGTAAAGACACGTTTAGCCATTACGTTTTAAATGCATCATTATATTCAAATTGCAAACACGAGGAGAGCATGAAAGACCCACAACTGGCAGATGAATGTGCTCTCCGAAACGGTAGGAAATCAAATTAGATAGAATGGAGGATTTTAACTGTGACAAGATGATTGACAGGGCAGTTTACACGCAGCACGCGACAGAGCTGTCCGTTAAAGATGACGTGATAGTATGTCCCAAAGCTTGCCTACTCTTTTGCTACACACTCAAAAGTATGTACTTTTAGGGCGTAGTATAAGTAAGCGAATTGGGACGCAGCATTTGTCTCTGAAAACCCTGGTTCATGCTGGCGTATCTCTGACTTCCTCATCATGTGATTGTCTCCAGTTTCACAGCTGCTGCTGGTGTTCATATCAGTCCTGGCACTAAGTAAGGTTTTATTTACCTTCAGTTTCATTTTCAGTCTTATCATGGCAAGGATAATAATAACAATATTAATTAAAGCGGCGAGCAGCATTTAGCGGGGTTCAAGCATTTAAGGCATTTAAGCGCATAAGCATTTAAGACATAAATTTTTATTTAGGAAGCATTTAACCAGTGACATCATAGATGGAAAAGACCATTTACAGCCAATACAGGCAATTTAGGAAATATATGGTTTCCAAAGTACCGATCGCCATAAAATGTAGCATGCTACTTTACTATGTTATGTCATATATGCCCACCGATTTTCTTAAAGTCCTGAGTTTTCGTTTCAGATTTATAGGCTTTTGAGTGTATTTTGCCACATCCGAAAGGTGAAAAACCTGGGACTAGTTCGCAAAAGTAGGTTTTTAACATAATCGTGAATATTTAATGAATGATTTGATTGACAACAGTGGTTCTTTAAACAAAGTTGTTCTGTATGTGGAGATCTATCAACTCACATGCATCACGTGATTACTGAGCTGTAAAACTCGTTAGATCCAATTATAAGCCGATTTCTTTAAAAATGATTACAGACCTCTAGCCCATGAGTTGAACATGCCCACGAGTTTCGTTTCGATCAGCCTCAGTTAACAATATTTTATTGGCTGATGACGGTCATGTTTTTTGAGATACGATAATGTCCTCATAGCCGTACATGACACCTTGGACCAAGACACTGCATGCCAATTTTCAAGTCAATCGGACTAACGGTCAGGTGGTCATAGCCCTTTTTATGTTTTTTTTTTTTTTTTTTTTTTTTTTAATGTTATAGTGCCAATCACAGTGTTTTTTTTTTAATTTTGTTCACGAGTTATAGCCATTTTAGTAAAAGTACCTCTGCCTACTTTGAACGTTTGTGCTTCCCTTAGCGACTGTGAATCAAGAAAAGAAGAAAAAAATCAATAATTATTGAGATTTAGTCTCCAGAGACTCTTTCTGCAGTAGATTGGTTCTGATCAAGAGAGAAACCTAGTACTAGTTTGCAAAAGTAGTTTTTAGACAAAATCCAAAATGGCGGAAAAATTTGCATACCGGAAATGAGGCTTTTTTCCCGTCTTGAACCAAGAATTACAATGATATAAGACTCGTGAGGCTGAGACAAAGGGCTAATTTTGGTTTTGCACTATAGTGCCACTATCTGGCCGATTGGGACGAGTCTGGGCCTCTGACCGAGTTTCAAGTCTCTAGGCCTTTCGGTTTGGGCTGCCCGATCAGTTTTATGGCAGAAAAAATATTATAATAAAATTAACAATTACAATAGGGTTTCAGCACTTTGTGCTTTATTGAATTTTTTTTTTTTTTAATTTGAATCATCTCTTTTTCTCTTTAACAGCCACGGCACAAACAACATCTGCAACAACAACATCTGCAACGACAACCTCTTCATTCGTAACACCTCCACCAACAACATCTGCAATAACAACATCTGCATTAGTAACACCTGCAACAACAACATCTGCAACGACAACATCTCCATTAGTAACACCTCCACCAACAACATCTGCAACGACAACCTCTTCATTCATAACACCTCCACCAACAACATCTGCAATAACAACATCTGCATTAGTAACACCTCCACCAACAACATCTGCAACGACAACATCTCCTTTAGTAACACCTGCAACAACAACATCTGCAACGACAACCTCTTCATTCATAACACCTCCACCAACAACATCTGCAATAACAACATCTGCATTAGTAACACCTGCACCAACAACATCTGCAACGACAACATCTCCATTAGTAACACCTGCAACAACAACGTCTGCATTAGTAACACCTGCAACAACAACATCTGCAACGACAACAACTCCATTATTAACACCTCCACCAACAACATCTGCAACGACAACATCTGCATCAACACTGGCAGGTAATTGTTGACCTATGAAGTACAGTCCCATTTCCAGAATAAGTAGTTTAAACTGACAAAAGTGCAAAGAAACATTTTCCAATGTTTTCATTGACCATAGTTGTATTTTGTAAATATAAACAAATTTTGATTTTGATGGCTGCAAAACACTTCCAAAAAGTTGGGACAGAGACAAAATAAAAGTGAAAAGATGATAGAATATTCAAGTTAAACTCCTTTGAAACTCTTTTGGTATCATGTTTGGTTGAAAAGGGAGCTTTCTCCTAGTCTTTGAAAGCAAAGATGGGTCATCATAGCTAACCACTGTGTGCCAAATTAAAAAAATCACAATCCTCAATGCAAGTTTGCAAAGAATGTGTCTTTCACCATTTACAATAAATTTGTAAAACGATTCAGAGAAATCTTAGTCTCTGGCAAGGCAGTAGACCTCTGTTAAATATGACCTTTGAGCCCTCATGCTACTGTGTTTTATACAGCCACATGTGCTCAAGATTTATTTGGAGAACCGTTTTTCACTTAATTCAGTCTGAATCTGCCTCAAGAACAGCAACTTGAATCTCTGTTGCACAAGGAGAAAGCTATACATAAGTTATATGCGAGTGCTGTGGTCATCCGAGTTCATGTTTCAGCTTGTTTTGGGGAAAAACAGATCGAGTTCTCAGTCCCATACATGAAACATGACCTCTTTCCTGGGAAGCAAAACAACACCAGGCGTCACTCTGCAAATAGTTTGTTAGGATATTGGACAATATTTGGCTGAGATACAACTATTATAAAATCTTAAATCTGAGGGTGCCAAAAAATTGTAACATTGAGAAAATCGCCTTTAAAGTTTTCCATTTATGTTCGCGATTGTGCCGCATTTGCATTTCACTCATAAAAATCAATGTTTTATATATTTACGGTAGGAAATTTACAAAATCTTCATGGAACATATAATAATTTTGACCCATACAATTTTTTGTTGGCTATTGCCACAAATATATATATACCCGTGCTACTTGTGACTAGTTTTGTGATCCAGGGTCACATACACAGTTTGCACAGTATAAAAAAAATCCTTATGTCTATGGAAATTCATCATAATTATAAAAAACTATAAATATATTCAGGAGACAATTTTCTACGGAAGCCCTGAACCGCAACCTAAAAAAAAAAAAGTCAGTAAAAAAAAAAAAAATCTGTAAAAAAAAAAAAAATCTGTAAAAAAAAAAAAAATCTAGCATTTCGAGATTAAAGTCGAAATGTTTTGAGATTAAAGTCGAAATGTTTCGAGATTAAAGTAAAAACATTGTGCATTCATAACAGTGCGCGTCCACTGGCTCAGAGCGCGCGCGTGTGTGTGTGAAGTCGAACTGCCATGGATAAACACAAAATAGTAGCTTTTTACTTTTATCTGAATTACTTATCTTACTTTATCGTTATACGTAAAATATAATGCGCCGGAATAGACTTTAGCCTATAGGAAAACCAACACGGAAAACACTTTTCAGACTGGATGGAGAAATCCAGCTTTATGAATGAATGAATGAATGAATGAATGAATAGGGCATTTATAGCGCTTTCAAATATGCCTACACTCAAAGTGCTTTACAATCATATAAAATCATATTAAATCTTAGGAAATCACAGGATCCGGCCAAATGATTGGATACAGAATGATGCTCTTAAAATGTATCCAGAGTGAATTTACGTTGAAGAGGGAGACCAAACAGTTACTGTTGTGTTCTCGACCCAGATAGTGTTGACTAGACGAGCACGAAAACACCTCAGAAACACTGCCATTAGCACGTGTGACGTGTGTAGAATTTTGTTGAAAGCCCAGATAAAAGTAAAAAGCTACTATTTTGGGTTTATCCATGGCAGTTCGACTTCACACACACACACACGCGCGCGCGCGCGCACGCTCTGAGCCAGTGGACGCGCACTGTTATGAATGCACAATGTTTCGACTTTAATCTCAAAACATTTCGACTTTAATCTCGAAACATTTCGACTTTAATCTCGAAACATTCCGACTTTAATCTCGAAATGCTAGATTTTTTTTTTTTTTTTTACAGATTTTTTTTTTTTTTACTGATTTTTTTGTTGTTTTTTTTAGGATGCGGTTCAGGGCTTCCGTAATTTTCAGACCGTGTTTGGCCCTCACAGTTTTGGTCTATGGAATGTCCCTTTAAAACCTGTGTCTGTGTGAGAGAGAAAGAAAGAGATACAATGAAAGAAACTATATTAAAGGAAAAAATAAAATTAAATACATTCATTTATGCCTTCAGAATTTGTGAAATTTGTGCTTCAGCTTTTTTCCTTTTTTCTAAAGGAAGAGATTTCTAAAAATATCTTCACAGACCCCTGCTTTAGCTACACCGCGCTGAATGATTCATGGAGATCCACCAACAATCTGTTTTCCTCTCAACTAATGTGTGACACTGAGGTCATCTGGAGCGGCTGGTACCGTCTCTTCATTCAGGGCCAGAGCGCTCAGATGCCAGACACATGTGTTGATGTGTATAGTTGTGGTACTTTTTCTCCACTGTGGCTGGACGGAGGACATCCAACAGTTGAGGATGGAGTGGTCACTCGAGATGTCTGCGGAAAATGGAGCAGTAACTGCTGCTGGTTCCGATCCAATACCATTAAAGTCAAAGCCTGTCCTGGCAATTACTACGTCTATGAGTTTGTGAGCCCAGTTACCTGTCATCTGGCATACTGTGCAGGTACTGTAAACATAACTTGCATTCATACAGGAATCTGTTTTTGTACTGTATTATATCTACGATTATGTTAGACCATCTATCTGTTTTTGACACACTGTGGAGGTAAATCCATTAAGATTTGCCTTTTGCACTTTTGTAATTTTATATTTGTATCTGTTTTTTTTTTTGTTGTTGTTGTTGTTTTTTTGCAGAAGTTAAGAATATTACCACCAATAATGCAACCGTCACTCAAAACACAACTTTGGCAGGTAATGTATACGCTATGGCTTCGTTTTGATGGGATGTATCGTGAAAATCTATCATTCTGTGTTGGTGTCTACAGACTGCAGATAAAACTGTGTTTGAAATTTGCAGATGCTGAAGCACATGTTCATTGACATACAGTATACTAATTTGTCATTTTACTGCATTAACTCCACTTAATTTTTGAATGAACTGTAAGATATGTAACTGTGTAAACACACCTTTTTCTATTACTAAAATGAGACACAGTCATGACACAGGCGACTTAAATGCTGTCTATATCAAAAGACGACTAAAATAAAGTTAAAAAGCAAATTACCAAAATTTCTCTATGTAGATAAAAGAGATTTTGTCTTACAAGCCAGTGTTTTGATACTTTTCATACAACCTCATGTAATGTGTTTGTATGATTAGTTTATGCATTCATTTAAAACATCATGCACTTGAGTATATGTTGATGTTTGGACCTATTTAAAATGATAATAACACCTAATTATAACTATATTTTAATTAGAGTAATATGCCATTGCACAGACAATTGAACTGGGAATTTGAATTAATGGTACATTCATAATCAGAAACACAGTAAATTTGCTTGTTTCCCAATCATGCCAGGAGGTGAGTGGGGTGTTGTATTAATTTTCTAATAAATATTTTGTATTATAGGCTATGTACATTTTTACCTGTAGCACTATGTTTCGTCAAAAAATATTTGCAAGTATATTAATTAGTGGTATATATGTTAAAGTCATACCCACATGAGTCATCCACCAGAGGGCATCATCATTGTCCCGCTACTAATGAGTCAAATTCAAATATGAGCCCCATAAATCAGTGAATGTAATCTGTGAATACTGTCCGGATGCAGTGTATATTAATGGAAAATAAAATTAAGTGTATTCATTTGTGAATAAATGTTTCTTTTCTAAATGAAGAGATGCTCTACAATTTGCTTAACTCATGTAAGGAAGAAAAGCTTTTTTAACTCCATTCGTAGGTATATCCCATGCCACAAGTATATAGTAATTTTCTTTTCGAATTGATTTTTTTTTTTGTTTTTACAGACCCATGCTATAGCTACACCGCGTTGAATGATTCATGGAGAGCCACCAACAATCTATTTTCCTCTCAACTAATGTGTGACGCTTGGGTCAGCTGGAACGGCTGGTACCGTCTCTTCGTTCAGGGTCAGAGCGTTCAGATGTCAGACACGTGTGTTGATGAGTATAGTTGTGGTACTAATGCTCCACTGTGGCTGGACGGAGGACATCCAAAAGTTGAGGATGGAGTGGTCACTCGAGCTGTCTGTGGACACTGGAAAAATGACTGCTGCTATTTCCAATCCAATACCATTAAAGTCAAAGCCTGTCCTGGCAATTACTACGTCTATGAGTTTGTGAGCCCAGCTACCTGTCATTCAGCATACTGTGCAGGTACTGTAAACTAGCATTCATACAGGAATGTATTTTTGTAATGTATTACATCTGCGAGTTTGTTATGCCATCTGTCTGTATTTGACATACTGTGGAGGTAAATACATTAACATTGGCCTTTTGTACTTTATATTTGTATCTGTTAATTAATTAATATTCTTTCCTAATTTTGCAGAAGTTAGGAACATAATCATCAGTTATCCTACTGTCACTCCAAACACAACTTTGGCAGGTAATGTAAACGCTGTGGCTACTACTGACTGCTGAAGCTTTGATGGGATGTATCTTGAAAATCTGTCATGTGTTTTTGACTTTGTAGGCACAGACTGTAAAGTAGGCTACTATGCCTCAAGTATATAGACCTTATGTAGCCCCGCCCCTTTTCAGCGTTGCGCTCGTTGTCTTTTGACTTCCGGGTATGAATGAACTGCCGGTCTCATTTGTTAAGACATCTGCTTTACAATGCTTATGATAAACATTACAATGCTCATGAAAACTTTTGTTAACTCTACAATAAGTAAATTCACTTCACCAGCTAATTACTCCTCATTAGCGATGTCATAGAAATATACAGAGCGACCGCGAAACTGGATGTTCAAAGACAATATTCTAAAGATGATGGCGCCCATGTTTCTCTGGTTCATAAGGTCTATGGAGAGCCTAAGTCCCGCCCTTTCCGGTCGACCACCATGGGACCTTATTTCGGAAAAATATTGAATGGTAGTCAATGGCGAGAGACAACAAATATTTTGATCTCGTTTGAATTGTGCCCTGAATTACACATATGATGTTTGTCAATTTAAAAGATACATTTTAAAGTAAAGAAAGTCGCAGTTTGATGTAAAACCGTTGAGGTATAAGACTGTGAAAATACGTAATTACAAAGACTACAAACCCCAAAGGCGCACATTTTCTCCCAATGAATGAAGCTAACTTTACTGAGGCTGTCTGTCATTGTTTCTACAGTCTTACGTTATAATCGTAAGGTTACGCCGTCCTGCCTGAGTGTTTTGTACCAGACTGCACACCATGCTGCACACACACGAGCAGCGGATCTCGTTTCTCTTCCAGGGAGATGTAGTTCATAGAGCGATTTTCACATAAAACTAAATGTCACTCTTCTGTTGTATGACAAACTGCGACGTTTTTGACTTTCAGAATTATCTTTTAAATTGAAAAACATCATATGTGTAATTGAGGTCACAGTTTAGACGGAATAAAAAGATAATTTGTCTCTCGCCATTGACTACCATTCATATTTTTTCCGAAATAAGGTCCCATGAGCCGGAAGTGGAGGGGCGGGACTTAGGCTCTCTATCGTATGAATAGTAATTTCATTTTTTGAATCGATTTTGTTTGTTTTCACAGACCCCTGCTTTAGCTACACTGAGCTGAATGATTCATGGAGAGACACCAACAATCATCAACTCGCATGGTGTGACACTTCTGTCAACTGGCACGGGTGGTACCGTCTCTTCATTCAGGGTCAGAGCGCTCAGATGCCGAACACATGTGTTGCCACGGAAAGTTGTGGAACTTATGCTCCACTGTGGCTGGACGGAGAACATCCAACAGTTGAGGATGGAGTGGTCACTCGAGCTGTCTGTGGACACTGGTGGAATGACTGCTGCCTGTTCCGATCCAATCCCATTAAAGTCAAAGCCTGTCCTGGCAATTACTACGTCTATGAGTTTGTGAGCCCAATTGCCTGTTTTCTGGCATACTGTGCAGGTACAGTAAACATAACTTGCATTCATACAGGAATCTGTTTTTGTAATGTATTACACCTATGAGTTTGTTAGACCATCTCATATTGTGAAGGTAAATACATTAATATGTGCATTTTGTACTTGTATATATTTGTATATGTTTATTTATTAAAATTCATTATTTTTTTTATTATTTTTTTTTTTGCAGAAGTTAGGAACATTACCACCAATAATGCAACTGTCACTCCAAACTCTGGTAATGTATACGCTATGGTTTCTGCTGACTGCTGAAGTTTTGATGGGATGTATCGTGAAAATCTATCATTCTGTATGTGTTGGTGTCTGTAGTTACAGACTGTAGATAAAACAGTGCAGATGCTGAAGCACATGTTCATTACTGTATATTAATTTGTCATTTAACTGCATTAATTCCACTTGATGTTTTAATGAATTATAAGAAATGTAACTGTACAAAATCTTTACACACCTTTTTCTATTACTCATCCACCAGAGGGCATCATCATTGTCCCGCTACTAATGAGCCAGATTCAAATATGAGCTCCATAAATCAGTGAATGAAAACATCAGGTAACAGAAATGATTTCTGTTTTTTCTCTTGGCAGCACCAGGAATATTCTACCCATTCGGCTCATCATCAGGAGACACAATAAACCCTGCTCTTGATGATGGAAGCTCCTTAGTTATTCCACTGTTGAGTCCATTTCTGTTCTTTGGCCGCACATACCAGCAGATTTATGTAAGCAGTTGAACTAAATGTGAATGGTGAATGCTTTATAAACTCATCTGTTGTCAGTAAAACCTGTGACTGTGATTTTGACAATATGTCTCATGTTTCAGGTTAATAATAATGGACACCTCACATTCAATCAGTCTTCAAACCAATATGATCCCTACTCCTTTCCTAACAATGGAGGCCAAGATATAATTGCTGGTCTCTGGACCGACCTTGACAACCATGTGAGAGGTGTGGTTTCATATCATCAGTACACTAATGGAAGTGTTCTCACACGCGCCACTCAGGATATAAACAATCATTTCCCAAATCTGACCTTCAGCGCTTCTTGGGTCTTTGTTGCAACGTGGGATAAAGTTGCTTACTATCCAACCTCTAACACAGTAAGATTGATATACTTATTAAATGTGAATGTTTTCACTTTATTCACAAACAAAACTTCAGAAAACACTGTTTCTGACAGTGACAGAATATTGCAATGTCGAGATCAGTCAGTAATGCTCATTAAAATAATATTCAATAATACAAAAATGTAATTTTGTATATAAAAAAAGATGTAAAAGCTCACTTTAAAGCGATTCTCTTTTTTTAATCTTCTCAGGAAACTTCGTTTCAAGTTGTTTTAATTTCAGGCAGTAGTTTTTCATTTATTCTGATGAATTATGGTGACATTGCTGTAACAGAACATCCGGTGAAGGTAAAAGAAACTGTTTTCTCTATCAGATCAATATGTTCCTATTCACCTGCGTTTATACTATTTATATGATTATGGTTTTTACATTCTTTCAGGCTGGTTATAACACTGTAAACTCCATCGACTACTTTGTGATTCCTGGATCAATCAATGGGAGCTTCATCTCAAACCTCAAGAACTCCAGTAATGTCAATGTTCCCGGTCGGTGGGCCTTCAGGGTGGACGATGGACACAACACCTCTAAAAGTAAGAAGTCCTGTCTTTCTAGAAATAGATAATAAAGAGTTTTTTTTTTTTTTTTTGATAAATAACATATAACCCCATGTAATTTTTGTATGTTAAATGACAACAAATATGAGTATTTTAGGTGTGTCTGTGTGTTTCCCTTTAGACAACGTCATTGGACTTCAAGTGAAACTTTCCTCATTTTCCGATCTTACACAGAGTGGAAACATTGAGATTGTTTTACAGCAAGTACGTCACACTTACTATGAATATTTTTACAAATGCGGAAAGATAATAGCTAGTTTACAAAATATGTTAATAAACAATAGCTAGTTTGATCTGTCTGTCTTTTGTTTCAGATAAAACAGGTGCTGGTCAATAAAGGTCTGCCAAGCAACATAGAACTGAAATTAAGAAAAGTGCAAAAGATAAAGCCGTAAATTCAGTCTCCTTCAGGAAAAGAAATAAAACAGTCCGGTTCGCTTAGTGTCTGATATATCCTATTGATCACGTGAAGACTGTAAAGACCCTAGTTTTACATGTGGTTTCATTACAGCTTTAAAGTTTTGTAAAAGAGATACATACAGCTTTTTCCATATAGACAAATTATTCGATTTTTACAATAATTTCCTTAAATCTTTTGCACTAAAGCAAAAGCTTTAGTGCACATTTATGAGATTTCTTTAAAAAAAAAACCAATAATGCTCACAAATGTTGGTCACATTATGTGACCAACATTTGTGAGCATTATTTTTTATTTTTATTTTTTTATTTTTTATTCAGTTCAGTTATCGAATGTCTGCGTCAGAAGAAGTCAGAAAGTTAAACTAGTTTTACTTTCAGTTAAGAACTAATTTCATTCATTTACATTTATTAGAAACATAACTTCTAAGAATACGAATACTTGCTTTCATTCCTATTATTGAGAACAGTCGCCTGGAGAATGCAAAACTAATGTAAAATGTATGTCTTTAAAGAAAGAAATATGCAAAAAATCCCATAAGTTGTGGTTTAAAACAAAACATTCTGACATTAGAGTGGGCTGTGGTTTAAAAATGGTGGTTTAAAACAAAACATTCTGACATTAGAGCAGGTTTTGGTTTAAAAATGGTGGTTTAAAAATACATTTTCTGACATTAGAGCAGGTTGTGGTTTAAAAATGGTGGTTTAAAACAAAACATTCTGACATTAGAGCGGGTTGTGGTTTAAAAATGGTGGTTTAAAAATACATTTTCTGACATTAGAGCAGGTTGTGGTTTAAAAATGGTGGTTTAAAAATACATTTTCTGACAATAGAGCGGGTTGTGGTTTAAAATGGTGGTTTAAAACAAAACATTCTGACATTAGAGCGGGTTGTGGTTTAAAAATGGTGGTTTAAAACAAAACATTCTGTCAGCTAAACATTGTCAGCTACACCAGCCCGTTCTCATCCTTTGGCGTCATATAGGTGACGCCATAGGACATTTCAGCGAAATACTACACACATAGCACCCTTTAGCGTCAATAAGACACGCAAAACCCAAGGCGTCATATGTGACTGGCATCCTTTAGCGTCAATATGAGATGCAGACCCTACCCCAGACCTAAACCTACCCATAACAGTGCGTGTTATATTGACGCTAAAGGGTGCCATGTGCGTAGTATTTCAACGAAATGTCATATGACGTCACCTATATGACGCCAAAGGAAGAGAATGCGTTGGCTACACTGTTAGTTTGTTGTCAGTATTTAATATATATAGTTAAATTTTCCATATATATTGTATGTCATTATGTGAGTATCAGTATTTGCTTTCAACCATGCACAAATAAAAATGTCACTGAACTTTATGATATGAGTATTTTAAGTGTACAGTACAGTAAATTTCTAGCCACTGGGTGACCATATACAGGCTAGGGGAACTCGTATTATTGTTAAAAAACCCAGAAAGTGACAATTTCATGTCAGGGGACCTTTAATGTCCCCCTGTGGTGAAAATCAAGTTTATGTGTCTATGTGCACTATGTGTTTTAATATTCTTTAAGACAAACAATGTGCAAATTCATCAGTCAACAACATTGCTGAGGATTTTCACAGGATTTTTCAAAAAAAGACAATGTTTCAGGTCACAAACTACTGTCACGACCGGCTCAAAGTGGTGGCAAATGGAATGTATGACAAAGGAATAAACAACAGGTTTAGTATTTTAACACGATTATGCTATAATACAACATATTAACATTAAAAAGTTAGCGGAAAGGCATAAGTTCTGATATAGTGACTTTGTAATCAGGTTATTTTGTATTGATGGTCACTCTGTCAGGGAACTTCAAATAGCCTAATATATTATTTTAGGATTTTACTGAGTGAAACTTTTTATTTCATCTAGTTAGTTTACACATTTGCAAGTGAAATAAGGGTATTGGTTTATTAGCACAAGAAATTATATTTTTATGACACTGAAATACTGACAATTATATGATATTTCATTTGATAGAGTGAGAGCTTGTTTTTGGTACTTGGCGCCCTGAAGTGTCTGTTCTTTTCTCACCACGAGGGGGAGACAGCAGCACTGCACTGCAGGAAATCAAACACTCAAATAGGGAATATCAACATTTTACTTCTGTTGATTGTGGCTTTCTTAATTATATTTCGTTGCAATATAAAAAGTTGATCATTGTAAACATCAAATTAATTCTTAATGCAGATTTTCTTTTAAAGTAACCTCACAAAATAGTGAAGTATCAGATAACTAAAAGACTGAAGTAAACAGTCTCTTCTGTCTCTCCTCATTGTCATTTAGCAGGTAAGCTAAATATGTACCCATCATTCACATCCAACCATTTAAAAAGTAGCCGTCTTGCATGTTGAGAGCCTTCACATTATCTATGGTGTTTCGGACGCATTCATCGATTCAAAATGAGATATTAATTGCACTTGACCTAGATTTAAAGGATACATTTAAAACTTTTAACATTGCCTAAGTATCTGCTGGCATGTAAATCCCAGGTTTTATGTCATTTTTAAGAGGGTTCATTCATAGTCCTAAGAGGGATAAACCATTACTTCTCATACACATTTCAACAGTGATTCTATCTCTACATAGAAATTCTAGTTTAAATTTATTAAACTCATTTCATACCTCTGAACAGCACGTGACAATAGTCTCGCTCACTCAGTTTCTGCTCTTCTAAAGTGACCCGAAGAAACAGTAGTTCATTCCAGCATCTGATATTTTTTATTTATTTTCTCTGATCCTCATTCTTTAAATTCTTTGTAAATGCCAGGGCAGTATAACACAAAATATAGTGCATAATACATGCATATACACCAATGAGCCAAAACTTTATGACCACCAGCCTAATGCTGTTTTTCCTTCACATAGGAGAGACCGGGATGGTTGTAACAAGGGGAGATATATCATAAGATATGAGTCATGTGATCACTTCAGTATTTTCCTACTTCCTCCCCAATCCATCATGCTGATTGTCAAGGCTGGCAACAGGCACATCCAGTATATCTAGAGGGAAAAAAAAGTTTTTGAGGTCAAAAAGTAACATTTTTGACCAAGACTATATTTTGTTTAGGATCTGTACTATTGCAGATAAAACTCTATGACTTTTATTAGATTAAATAGTAGTTTCTTAGGCAATATGTGATGCATTTCCCTCCTGCTAATTTCAAACCACTACACTAATACAGCTAGCTAAACATTGGCTGACAGGGGTTGGGTGGGTTGTAACACTTACAGTATTTAAAACGTGTTACCATCCCCTTACTAAGGTTTTAAAGAAAACTATGGCATGGAAAAAAGACTGTCTATGCCAGTGTTTTATATAAAGTGGTTTGCATCTAGGTTCAAGGTTCAAAGGTTCAAAAGTTTTATTTGTCACATACCCATACAAGATGCGCAGTGAAATGCTTTTGTGACGTACTGTACTTCTGTGCTCAGTAGAAGATAAAAATACAATAAATGCAATAAATACAGTACAATTAAATATCATAAGTTAACAACTAGACAGATAGATGTTAAAATTCAGTAGCTGGGTTAAAAATTGAAAGTCAATTCAGGTTAAAAATGTTCATAGTGCAGAATTCAAGGCTCTGATCGCCGCAGGGTAAAAACTGTTCCTCATCCTCTCTGTGGATCACCCAAATCTAGCTAAAGAAGGTTTGGGTGAAATGTGCCCTATGCACTCAAGCCTAGTTTCTCCAAGGTTACCAGTATCATTCATCTGTCAGAACTATGGTTTGTCCCTCCTCAGACCACTGTTGGTGAAAAGCATTGCCGTTTCAGAGATACTCTGACATGGTCGCCATAACAATTTGGTCCTTGTCGCTCAGATCCGCATTCCTGCCCATTTCTCCGGCATCCAAAACATTGATTATGAGAACTGATTGTTTGCTTGCCATCTAATCTACCAAGACCTGAATGTGTGGCATTGTTAGGAGATGATCAACGATATTTGCTTCACCTGCGACTGGCCATAATGTTTTGGCTCATCAGTGTATTCAATATAATATAACTAATATAGCATCAGTGTATTTTAGTAACTAATATTGGACAGATAAATTAATGACAGTACCACAATGCCTTTGCTATATGTGTGCACAGACATTCTTAGGGTGTCTGATAGACACTCAATGTGTAAACTATTAAAAAAAAACCACAGAATGTTCCAGGTACTGTATCATGTGCCAGGGGTTTCGTGTTTCAAGTTTTATCGCTGGCTGGGTTTCAACAAAATGCATTTCCTTCAATACCAGAGCAGGTTCTGCCTGATAACAGTGCCAGGACGTGTTTAAAATGAGTCAACCTTCCTGCAAACCCACAGCAGGTGCGAGAGCAGCTTAGAGGAACTGTAAGTCAAATCTTTCTATTTAATGTTACGCTCCATAAGCTATATTCTCTCACAGTTTGTCCTTATTTGTGTAATGAAATTAACTACAATATACAATTGTGATACTTTAAGGATTTTGCTTTAAATGTAATAGATAAATATAAAGCAATAGAACATGTCGCTGTTTTATAAAATCACAAACACATTAAGCGACTCTATTTTCTAATTATAATTTTTTTTTAACTAACTGTAAAAAAAAATATTTTCAAGATTTGTTATCACAACATTTTTTTCTTTTGTCAAATCAACTTAAATAATTTATTTAGTTCATGATGATTAAATCAATCTCCTTCATTGTATTAACTCACTTTTTCCAGTTCAATCAACTTAGAATTTTAAGGCAACCAGGTTACTTACTTTTTTAAGTTAAACCAACAATATTTTTTTACTGTGTGTTCAATGAATATTCAACTTGATTAATCAGCAATATGTATTAATAATATAGTAATAACATAAGTAATTTATTGTTAAAGATAGAGCTTTAGAATATTGGCTTTTTTCCAATCGCTTCAACACTGGCTCCTACAGACATATTTTTGAAAATATTTCATTTCTAATAAGTTATTATTATTATTAGAATATAAGTTGTTTATTATTATAAAATATTTAATTTCTAATAAGTTGTTGTTATTTATATTATTCAAGGTTAACATCTATTTAGTGAGAATAATAAATCTCCCTCTGGTTACAGAAGAAGGACTCCTACATGCTGGTTTTATCTCCGACTTCATCATGAGATTATTTGTGGTTTCACAGCTTCTGCTGGTGTTCATATCAGTCCTGGCACTGAGTAAGGTTTAGTTTCTGTTTGAATATCAGTCTTAATGTGGCAAAATATACTAAAAACATGCAATCTTGTCATTATGAATTTAATAATCTCTTTCTATTTTACAGCCAGGGCACAAATAACAACTCAATCAACAACTGACACAACAACTGTAGCAACAACTGCACAACCAACTCAAACAACAACTGACACAACAACTGTGGCAACAACTGCACAAACAACTCAAACAACAACTGTAGCAAAAACTGCACAACCAACTCTAACAACAACCGACACAACAACAACTGGAACAACAACACCGGCTATAGGTAAATATAGACCTTTTAATTTGTTAGAACAGATGGGTCTCCATGTCAAAAATATTAGAGATTAAATCAGACCCCGGACACTGAATCGCTGCCAAGAAATCAGTCTTCTATTAGCCTGAGATTTTGACTGAGAAAACCAAGGAAGAGCAGACACAGGAGATAGAGTGATGATAGTAAAAAGAGCTGATTTTATTGAACAATCTTAGTTGCGTTATGTTTCAGTGCTCAGACTTAATCTGAATGTCGGTGTATCAATGCTCAGACTTTATCTAACCAGTAAATCCAAATAAGTGTTATTACCAAAGCACAAACGAGAGAAAATCGTCCTGTGATCTTACTATTACTCATGAAGACAAACATCCCGCAAAACCTCACAGTCATATGATTAAACAACAATGGCAAGCATTGTATATTTGTGTATTATAAAATAATAATAATAATAATATAAAAACATAAAATGACATGAATTAATAAGAATAAAATAATGATAAAATTATATTTAATAATAATAAAATAAAAAATAAATTATAATTTGAATAAAGGATTACATGATAAACCAAATGACAACTACATAAATGACTAATGATTATAAATTATGAAAAAATGTAATCATATAAAAAAACAGGTGTGTTTGCTCTCTCAAAGTAACGCACAAACAGGTTACTATTGAGAATCCTCAGATCCTTCAACTATTTTGTCCTCTAAAAACCTTAAAATGTCACCTACTGTATGTTGTTAAAGTTGAACAGTGTTGTGAGTGATGGATGATTCCTCATGCATAATATTTTTATGTAGTTTACAGAAGTGTTTTCTAATGTCTTTTAAGCATTACAACAATACATGCACAAACAACGACACCGGATGGTACTTATAGATTGTCGCCAAATGGTGTCATTTGAACAAACCCAAAATGACACTGAATGAAACCGAAATGTACTGTCTTTCTTTTCTAGAAAAAGTACTAAAAATATGTGTTATCATAGATAAGATTACTCAATATATATATTTGTCCAATCTGCTTCCACCCACACAGTTCTACTAGGTAAAAATGCTGTATTTAATAGGTAACTCATCACACGCCTATGCAATGTTTTTATGTTTACAGAATAAACAATAAGCAATAAGCTATGAGGGCCGTGCTGTATTGTAATCATGGCGAAGGACATTGTTAGGACAGACTTAAACCCCTTCAGTCGTGACTGCATTCACAACACTATTAAAGGGATAGTTCACTTTGAAATGAATTTTTGATATGTTTTAGCTTACCTCAAGGGCATCCAAGGTGTATATCTTTGTTTCCACAGACACATTGATATTTTTAGGTCAAACCGTTCTTGTCTGTCAGTCATATAATGGAGGTCTATGGTCACCACCTCAAAGAGCATGCACAGAGAAGTCAAAATTAAACATGATTTAAAGACTCGTAAATGTAAGGACACATTGATGGCCTAAGACATGAAACGAGAGGTTTGTGTGAGAAAACGAACAGTATTTATATCGTTTTTACCTCTTGTAACACGAGAATGAATCTCATTGGTTCTTGCAGAAGCTCAAAGCATGTTTGCAAAGCACAACTAATGAGTGAGTTGATAAATGTTTCTATATGAAAAAGCCTAATTTCAAAAATATAACATATAAAGCCTAAGTTCCTCATGTAAAGCGACCATGTCTCTTCAGAAAAGGTATTTTGTTGCTTTTTGTCGAGGACTGTTATTTTTGAGCTCATAATAAACTTTTGTCTTAACTCTACACTGCACTAAATTACAGTATTTTTAAGCTTATATTACACCTTTCATTGACCCTTGAGATGGATTGACTCCACTTCTCTTTCAAGAAAAAAAGACCAAAAATGTAGATGACTTTTTATACATGACTCAATATGTTGTTATTTGTAAATTCTCTCTAGAACATTGTGAGGTACTTAGACCATTTAGACTACCGTATCTGTTTAGAAAATGTCGTTTCTGGTGTCATTTGAACAAACCCAATATGAAACGCTAAGAAGTAAGAGAGCATCTTCATTAGGAAAGAAAACTATTCTTGTCAAATGAGTTTGTTGCAATTTAATTGCGTAAAATCGTGTATTTGTGTTCATTCTTTCAGAACCCACCTCCACTGAAATCACGACCACAGTCCTAGCACTCATTAGTCATGAGTTTATCACAGTCGTTGGCTGCATTTACACAACAAAGTGAAATGCATATACGGAAAATAGAAATATAGAACTATAATAGTATATCAATGGTAGTATGTTAATGATGGTAAAATAACTGCTGAAATGTACTGATTTGGCCAGTGAACCCATTGCTTTTAATGGAAACCTTGAATGTCTTGGGCAATTTTGTGCTTGTAAAGCTAGTTTCTTCAAATATCTTAATTTTTGCAAGCTAAAACATGTCTGGGCTTGTGTTTATTTCTAATTGCATAAGTATGGGGTGAACTAATTGAGTTTCAAGTCAAATATACACCCATGAAACATTTTTATGTATTTTACATAAGCGTTTTATAATTTAGTGGGGTTTTTTGATGACACATTTTTTTCTTTCAGTAACCCCCACTAAAACCACCACAGTCCTACCAGGTAATACGGCTGCCAGCCATGGAGAACCATTTTTGGAGAACCCATTTATAAGTGTGTTCATGAGGTATTTAATGGTATTTGTGTTTATTCTTTCAGCAACCACCACAACAACCACCACAGCAACCACCACAGTCTCAACAAGTAACAATACTGCGACTGTTAGACGACTCATCATATGATCATATGCAATGCATCTTTCAATGTACTTTACAGAAGTGTTTAAATAGTACATGTACCATTAACACAATGTTACGAGTGAGCGAGCTGCCTGTGACAAGATGGCCGCCAGGTACAGACGTCGACCTCCATTGGCCAGCAGCGTGGACGACATATCTAGCCTTTATATAGATATCTATGTACAGAGCGACCACGAAACCGGACGTTCAAAGACAATATTCTAAAGATGATGGCGCCCACGTTTCTCTGGTGCATAAGGTCTATTGTATGAATAGTAATTTCATTTTTGAATCGATATTTTTGTTTTCACAGACCCCTGCTTTAACTACACTGAGCTGAATGATTCATGGAGAGACACCAACAATCTGTTTTCCTCTCAACTAATGTGTGACACTGAGGTCATCTGGAGCGGCTGGTACCGTCTCTTCATTCAGGGCCAGAGCGCTCAGATGCCAGACACATGTGTTGATGTGTATAGTTGTGGTACTTTTTCTCCACTGTGGCTGGACGGAGGACATCCAACAGTTGAGGATGGAGTGGTCACTCGAGATGTCTGCGGAAAATGGAGCAGTAACTGCTGCTGGTTCCGATCCAATACCATTAAAGTCAAAGCCTGTCCTGGCAATTACTACGTCTATGAGTTTGTGCGCCCAGTTACCTGTCATCTGGCATACTGTGCAGGTACTGTAAACATAAGTTGCATTCATACAGGAATCTGTTTTTGTACTGTATTATATCTACGATCAGGGCCTGAAATTAACGCCCGACCACCTGCCAAATGCGGGTGAATTTTTCTATTGGCGGGTAACACTGTCAATCTACCTGCCACATTGGCAGGTAGCCAATGAGAATTGAGTGATTCATTAGGATTTTTACATTTCAACTAAGTCCGCCATTGCGTTTGACTTTAGCTAAAATGTGGCGGCACATTACTGAGGTAAAGAGGCCAGCTGAAACAAACAACCAACAAAAAGATGAGGATGAGAAAAAGAAAAGTAAAAGAAGACATTTTAATACAAAGTGGACAATTGGCGGCAATGGCAAGGTTCGTGAGCGGCTGATTTATGACAGCGACTGTCATTTCGGAACGTTCATGCGATCAGAAGAAGACGAGGGCCTTTTCCGACTAGATGTGCGAGTATTAAACTGTTGGTGAGATGGGATGAGATAATGTAACGCTGACGTAGCATACAGTACAATGTCAGTTGCACAGATGTGTGTGCGTGTGCAACTGTGCATGTTGGGAGTTGGGAACCAGTGAGAAAATATCCGGTACCCGGTAACTTTACCAGTAATAACAATATTAATTTAGTTCATAGTTCCTGAACGCTGTAACTAAAAGCTGTCAGGATCGATCTGTCTACGTGACTAAATCAGCCATCAACACAGCCGCGTGTGATTTGTTTACATACGAGCTGCGGTAGGTCTATCTATGTTGAGTAGCCTATATACTATATAGCCTATACTATATACTGTATATGTGAGTGTCAAAATCAATGAATAAAAAGATTTTTAAAAATGTATGTTCTTAGAGTTATTATTATTACTTGACCGCACTTAAATGTGTATTTTTACAAGTGAAAGAACAATATTGTGAAATTCCTGTTTTTTTCACCTTTATATAAAACCAGGAATTTCACAATATTGTTCTTTTTACCAGCCATTTTTGGCTGAAGCAAAATATGAGGCAAAAAAAAGTGGCTGGTAAAAAGTCTCTGTGGCAGGTGAATTTTTAAATCCACCTGCCACAGTGACCGGTGGCCGAAAAAGTTAATTTCAGGCCCTGTCTACGATTATGTTAGACCATCTATCTGTTTTTGACATACTGTGGAGGTAAATCCATTAAGAATTGCCTTTTGCACTTTTGTAATTTTATATTTGTATCTGTTTTTTTTTTTTTTTTTTTTTTTTTTGCAGAAGTTAGGAA